CCAGCACTGACCTGCCCTCTCTCTGGGCCCAGCTTGCTACGTCCATCCATAGACCCCATTTCTCATTCATCCCTGTAATGTCGCAATGAGAAATATTTCTAAAGATCTCTGCAGTCTCTCCTACAGAGCGTATTGGTTTGTGGGGTCAGCCAGTGGTCTGGCAGTCCAGGTGGCAGGATTCCACATGGCCGCCGGCATGGTTTGAGTTCTGGACCCAGTGGCTTGAGAAACACGCAAGAGGAGGTGTCGGGCAGCGAGGGACGCTCACGCACCCGTTCAAGGAAAGGTGGTCCGTACTGGGGAGCAAGGGCCCTCCCTGCCCTGGTCCCTTCTTGACCTCTGTTTACTAAGTCAAAGAACAACACGAAATCAAACCAAAGGTGAGGTCCGCAGGTGGTGTAGTGGTTAAGGCACTGGCCTTCCACAAGGCCGGCCAAGGTTCGAGTCCCAGATCTGACCATTAGTTTTCTCACTTTCCTTCTCTCTCTGGTGAGTGTGCATGCCCTGTAGCAAATTAAAAAATAATAATGATGACAAATAAAATTAAATAATTTTTAAAAAGACAAAAGGTATTTCCAGAAGCTTCTTTGTGCTTGTAGGCACCCACTTCTCAAGAAAGCCTTAGGGTAGCATACCACTGCCCAGCTCACTGAGGCCAGCTGCTCCAGGAAGCAGAGGATCCGCAGGGTCCCACGAGAGCTCTGGGAGGGTCCCTGGACCTGCAGAACCGCTCCACAGCTAGTCTCCCAAGGCGGTGTGAGAGCAAGCAGGGTAGGCCTCCTCCATCCTCCCTTGTGTCAGGGCCAGCAGCTTCCTCCCACGGAGGCACACCTGGCCAGGTAGAGTAAAATCCCACACGTGGCTCTCTGTGCTGTTTCCAGCTCCTTGGGAGGAAGATGCCGTTCTTGGAGCTGCTTTCTGGGCTTCCCATACTGCACAGGGCACAGAGCCTGGAGGGAAATATGGAAATGAGGGCGCCTCACCCTCAGCACTGCGGACGCTCACAGGAGACAGCTGGCGAGGACTGTCCTGCACACTGCAGCTGGTCGGCAGCCTCCGTGGTCTCTGCCCATGGATGCTGGTAGCACACATCCCCAGCTGCGACAATGACAAAAGGTGTCCTGATGCTGCCACATACCCTCTGGGGCAAAAGCGTGCTCAGAGGAGAACCACTGGTATTAATGTAACTGTCGAGTGGTCAGGGAAGTCAGGGTGCATTTTGGCATGGAAAAATATGCCGTGACTTTCCCGACAACCCGGTAAGACGGTAATTCTTTGCTGCCATCTGATCGGGAAAAGATTAAGCTGCTGCACCGTCATGGGGCCAGTGCCCATGGCCTGACAGGTGTGCTCGGTGAGAACACGCATGCCTGCATCTTAATCAGGATGTTTGCTGAGCACGCATCTCGACCCAGCACCACCCCAGGCACTGTAGAGGAGCCAGAAGAAATCTAAGAGATGGTCCCTGTCCCCTGAAGCTCAGTTATTCTGGGAAGACGTTGGTCATACCTGTGGCCAAAGCGACCCTGCAGAGCAGTGGGTCAGCCACATCACCCACCCAGTGACGACCTGCTGGCAGGAACAGTGACCAGGCAGGGCAGACACAGAGGCGGAGGAGAGGAGCAGGGCAGGGCAGAGGGGGCTCGGTCGGGGACAGACCAGCGCAGCGCTGCAGGCTGGGGCAGGGCGTCGGCCATCACCGCAGGCAATGGGTTCGCAGGTCATGCCTGGGCTGGGTGTCAGAGGACAGATGGGCACCGAGCTCCGGGCAGGGGTGGGGGGACAGCGGAGCAGAGCCGTGGAGACTGGCTGCCTGGCCCTCCAAAGGCAGCTGTACAGGAAGAGGAGGAGGGCAGCTTGAGTTGTGCAGCAGCAGGCGTGGGCCGCAGGAGCCCCGAGAAGGTTCCCTGGGACGGAGGAGTCTGCAGAGGCTGGGTAGGTGGGCGGTTGGAAGAGCAGTTGTGAGGTGGCCGTCAGAGCTCTGGCCTCACATGGCGAAAGCCCCACTGCCTGGCCCCATTGGCTGGGAGCTGCGGCGAGCTCCAGGGGCAGGGTGGCCAGGATCGGGGCTGGAGGAGGGCTGGAGGTGACCCTTGGCTACCTCCTGCCGTCACACTGGGAGTCGTGACTCGGCCCCCACCCCAGGTGAGTCACACACCTGCAGTTCTCCTGCTGTGGAAGCTGCTGCCTGGAGCCAGCGCCTGGGCCCAGCACGCACTCAGCCCTGGTCACCTCGCAGTCCTCCTGCGGTGCCCTTGCACGCCGAGTTCATCCCTGGGCAGGAGTGTCTGCACACACTGCCGGACTGGTGCACTCCCCCCGTCCCCCGACGACTCTGACGGGTACATAGCCGTGCGGCCGGTGGGCAGGCGTGGAGGGGCCAGCATGTCTTCGCTCAGCCTGTCATTAAATCGAGAAACGCCACTCAGCATCGCTTCCCCACCCCCGTCTTCCCGGAGCATCAGGACGCACGGCGTCTCGGGGACTCGCAGCTCCCAGTTGTCAGAGCGGAGAAGGTGCCGAGGTGCCGGAGCTGCCCTCCCAGCTGCCCGTGGCCTGGCCCTCCCGCCAGGAGGGCTCTCTTTCACTGACCTCCACACTGTGAGGGAGACCGGCCTCGGGGCCACAACGGGGCAGGGGCGGGGGCTGATGTGGAGCCTACAGAGAGGGTGACCGCCAGAAGAGCTGGGGCACAGTACCTGGGGAGCCCCTCTTCAAAGGTGTGGCAGGCCCCCGGCCTGCTGGCTGGCAAGTACGGCTCCCCTCAGGCTGGGTCCTCCTGAACACCGGGCCGGATGCAGAGTCCGACCTGCTGGTCACCCTCAGTGCACAGCTGGGCCAGGTAGCATGACTAGCAGCCCGCACCTAGAGGAGGCCAGTCAGTGGTGAGGGAACTGAGCACTCTGGGCAGGGCCATGCAGAGCGGGAGACGGGCCGCGGACGGGACGACGACATGCGCGACTCCTTGCCCCGACCCCTGCCTTTGCTTTCTCCGAGCTCCAGCTGCGGCCGTGTAGCCTGCCCTGCTCAGCCCCCTGGAGAGCCTGTGCTTTCTGTAGGTGCTCCTCCTTGGCCTGGAATATGTTTCCTCCTGCTCCACCCGGCAAATGACTACTCACCCAGGCATCACCACCTCCAGGAAGCCTTCTCTGACTGCCATCCTGCCAGCGACTCTCAGCATTCCTTCTTTTTTTTTTTTTAATTTTAAATGTATTCATTTTCTACATTAATTCACTATACACCATCACAACACACAAATGAATTTTCCATCCAAAATACACTGTGCATTGGCTCAATCAAGCACATCAACATACATGTTCTCAGCAAAGAATTTTCCAATTCTTATGTCCTGCATACCTTGCCTTTTGTTTTGCCATCCCTGATTCCCCATCCC